TTTGTTCCTGACTTGTGCTGCACCACGTCGATGCGAACCACGTATTCTTCATCATCATGTACTACTACTACCTTCATATCAGTCACGAATAGCATTGCAAGAACAAAGTTCACAGCAGCATTGAAGACCTGCGCATCCACTATAGCACTACCGCGATATCAACGCTCTACTCTCATGCTTTGCAGCTCCCCTTGGCTGACTCGCTCGGTGAGCACACAACCACGCTACGCAGTAGACAGGGGAATGGATGAAGCTTGCGAGAGGAAATCTGACGTTTTTGGCTGCATTCCTTCTTGCCAGGCATTCTCGTACGAGTCGAGTCAAGCCAAGCCGTATGGTCGAGAACCTTCGTGCACTCCCACGCCCACAAGCACGCGATTTTGGACGGCCTCCACTTCGCGGCTTGATCTTGCGGTCTTGCCGTTCACACAACCCTTCTCCTTGGGCCACACTCGTGACTGCTGGGACAGCTCAAGACCACACACACCATCTCATCTTTCAAGGCAGTCAGTCCATTATCAGATCACTGACCCACTCAGAAAAGCAATCACGCAAAGCCGTGGACCAGTCACACATATGCTTATGCGAGTCGTTCATACATCGAAATTCGCGCAAGTACAAGGCATTACATTACGTCCAATTCGCCCTGTGACTTTCGGTCGGCACATCTCTACGAGCGCCATGGTGTCGACACAGCAGCCGAGCAAGCGCGTGCCCATCTTGCGCTTGCCACTGCCACCCGTCTCTGACAGGCTCCAGTCGCAATTGCTATCGGATCCCGCGATTCCGAGCGCTTCGAGCCTTTTGGGAGGTCCCCATTCCACACCTTCCGCCACGCGCAGAAGCAGGGCAATAGGCAGCGGAGCGCTCTTCTCCTTTGTCGATCCTCTACCCCTCAGCTTTCCTTATGATTTCACGGAAAAGGAAATCGAGCATGCGAACGAGATCTTGGAGAGGGAAGAGCAGGTGGGCGAGAGTGGACCGCTGACGGAGCAGGAAAAAGCGGGAAAGAGGATAGAAGTGCTCCTTAGGGAGTACGCGCCTCTCAAAGCTCCAGATGAAGCGAACCAAGACGAAGGACTTGAACCGTACTTGCCTCGCGGCAGAGAGAAGGAGGACTATCCATCTGCTCGATTGCTTGGCGTGGCAAATCGAGCTCATCAGGAGCATTTGCCAGGCCTCGACATCGGCGATGCTCAAGAATGGATCGAAGCTCATCAAGGCGTGCGCGACGCTGAAGCGTACACGAGCGGACCTAAAGCGGCGTCGGTCTCGAAACAAGACGGATCAGCGCACGCTCGACAGCTGCTCAGCGATGTGCTGAGCGGTCGAGTCATTGGTGCCCACTTCGCTACTGATCAGATCGTCAAGCCCGTGCAACCGTCGGAGGAAGAGACTTCCAAGGAGAGGTGGCAGCGCAGAGAGAAGGAAAGAGTCGAGAGAGCTGAAAAGTCAGAGTATGCTCCTTGGTCCAACGCGTATGCTGGGCATCAATTCGGCGTATGGGCTGGGCAACTCGGTGACGGACGCGCCATCACTTTGTGTGAGTAGTGCTGCACGAGGCCATGAGAGCCGAGCGCGGGCTTATATGCGCCCTCTCTTGACCTCAGTCGAGACACCGGAGCCTCGCACGGAGGTCCAGCTCAAGGGTGCTGGTCGCACACCTTACTCCAGATTTGCGGATGGCCTTGCCACTCTTGCAAGCTCCACGCGAGAGTTCCTCGGATCGGAAGCGTGAGCACAACAGCTACGGCAGCGAGAGAATTGCCAAGTGTAATTAGCGCTGACGTCCCAATTTGATGTTTCTTTTGGTCAGCGTCGCTGCCCTAGGTATCCCGTCATCGAGAGCTCTCGCGCTCGTCTCTTTGCCGGAGCTCAAAGTGATCCGCGAGAAAGCTCAAACAGCAGGTATTTGCACACGACTTGCTCGCTCCTGGATACGCATCGGCTCTTTTCAGCACCAAGCCTCGCGCGGCGAGTGGGAGTCCGTCAGGGCCTTGGGAGAGTGGGTGGCTAGGATCGGCTATGGCTGGGACTTGACGGATGGCAAACCTTGGGCTAGGAGGTTGGTCGAGGAGGCTGCGAAGAGGAACGCGAAAACCATTGCTCTTTGGCAAGTCTATGGTTTCTTGCATGGTGGTGAGTCGGGTCTTTGAGAAGCATTATTCATGTAGCCCAGGATCGTTGTTCTAATCCTGCGACATT